CGCTGAGAAAAGGCACCGACTTGGGGAGCTGCAAATAGTAAATCATGCAGGATTTCTATGCAGCTTGCAAAGTCATCTGGCTCCAACCTGTCACACAAGACCATCCAATCCAAGAAATATGGAATTGCGATCATACACAGGCAGTCCTTGACTTACAACAGGAGGGTCTTCAAACTTGGCAAGTTTAAGACTTGTGGACATCAACTCCCAGAATTCCTCCTCCAGTCCTCAGGAATTCTGGGAGTTGAAGTCCACAAGTCTTCAACTTGCCAAGTTTGAAGATCCTTGATATAGATAAATGAGAGAGATGAGAGATGGATGGATGGATAGATGGACAAACAGATGGATGGATGCTTTGGTGCTCAGCCTTCCTTACGGTCCAACTTTCACAGTCATACATTGCAACTGGGAAAACCTGTAAGACTAAGGTGGGATTATAGGACTATAAGGTAGTCCTATAAAATAACCCATAGTCCATAAGGTACTAATTTCACAAGATTATCAACATGATGCAGTCATGGCCATCCACAGAAGAGAAGGGAGAAATTAATATCAAAAAATGACTCAAATTACACATTATTTGCGCACTTATGTCATTGTGACTTCTCTTCCCTTCTTCATGACCACTTTTAATCGTGTAACTCGGAGGTGGTATTCAACAGGTTCTGACCAGTTCTGGAGAACCGGTAGCGGAAATTTTGAGTAGTTCAGAGAACCTGCAAATACCACCAATCTGACTGGAGATTTTACAGTATCCTTCCCCTGCCAGGCCCACCAAGTCATGCCCACAGAACTAGTAGTAAATTTTTTTGAATCCCACTACTGGTGTAACTGTATAATTCTACACACCCTACTCACTAAAACCATAGCACCAAGGATGGCTTGCCTTCAGAAGTTGTGGGTGTTCCATCGCTGGAGGCTTTTAAGAAGAGACTGGACAGCCACTTGTCCGAAATGGTATAGAGTCTCCTGCTTGAGCAGTGGGTTGGACTAGAAGACCTCCAAGGTCCCTTCCAACTCTGTTATTTTGTTCTGTTCTATCCTATCTGGTACTACCTTCTACCAATATCAGCTTCCAGATGACTTTTGCTATGGATCAACAGCCCTTTGAAGAATACAGGAATAAATTGTGTGAAGGGTTTTTCTCGGAATCCCCCAAGAATGCATGAAGTGGCTCCAATTCTAACGAGTCTATTCATGGATAATAATACTCAAGTATAGATGACCTTTGGGATGACCAGCAGTCATTTGCAAATCCTGCTCTTCTTTTTCTTCAGGGTTCTGGGACCTCAAGAAGTCTGCGAATGCCCCTTGCTTTCGTATCAGTTCTTGCCAAGAGCCCCTCTCGGAGATTTCTCCATTCACCATCACAATGATGTTGTCCACCATGGGTAGAATGTGGACGGTGTTGGTCACCAGGATGCGAGTCTGCAAAGCAAGAGGACAATTCCTGAGGTGTTGACCAATAGCTTTGAGGTGTCCATTAGGAGAAGAGAGCGTATAACACCATACATTGCAGAACTTTTAGTCGTAGATTCCCTCCATTGTCCATGATGCTTAATGCTCCCTTATGGCCATAAGTTGAGGGCTACCTATAATCTCCACTTGACCTAACCCTAACCCTATACTGTGATCAAAATTCAGGGGCTTGGCAACGGACTCCTATTTACGATGGTTGCAGTAGGGGTCACCTGATCCCCTTTTGTGACCTTCTAACAAGTAAAGTCAATGAGGGAAGTCACACTTAACAACCGTGTGACCAATTGAACAACTGCAGTGATTCACATAACGATTGTGATTGCAAGAAAGGTCGTAAAATGGGGTGGGGGGGGAAACTCACATCTGTCTTGCTTAGCAACAGAAAGGTTGGGCTCCATTGTGGTCGTAAGTCGAAGACTATCTGTACAGCATTAGATCCTGTTGTGATAATATATAGGACAGTTTGGAACGCCAAGTACCTTTTCCTTCAACAAGCCGTTGGGTCCAAGAACATGATTGAAAATGTGCCATCCAACTGGAGCGTCCACAGCGGAGAGGGGATCATCCAAGAGGTAAACTGAGGCCTTCATATAAACTGCACGAGCCAGGCTGAGCCTCTGCCTCTGTCCTCCAGAAAGATTGATGCCCTATGGCAGCATGAAAATAGTCCTCAGTCACCTGCCAGTATCCCTCTCGCTATAGAGCAAGGGGTCTTCAAACCTGGCAAGTTAAGACTCATGGACTTCAACTCCCAGAATTCCTGAGTTAACATGACTGGAAGAGGAAGGAATTCTGGGTGTTGAAGTCCACAAGTCTTAAAGATGTCAAGTTTTTGAAGGCCCCTGCTATAGGTCATGGTAGCTAAAGTTTCTGGGGACAGAATTAGCAACCTTTGGAGGGTCCCAGGTCCTCTTCCCCAATCTACAATGATTGGGAAGAAATCTCAAAGGTTTATTTAAAATAAACAGCAGTTTTGATTGTCCTGTGAAGAACCTGGAATTCTTTTGAGTGCAAAACAGAAGCTCTATCAGTGACAACTCCACCGTTAGGGGCGTTCCTTTATTTCACTGGGGGGAAGGAGGAGGAGGAGGAGGAGGAGGAGGAGGAGGAGGAGGAGGAGGAAGAGGAGGAGGAGGAGGAGGAGAAGGAGGAGGAGGAGGAGGAAAAGGAGGGAGACGACAACAACCAACACTACCACCATCTACCCAACCAAATGTACATTCCTTATTCCTTTTAGCTAGATAAATAATATAGCAATGATCCAAGAACCTTCTCTCCAATTTCTGTCCGGCTTCCTGCTGGAAAACCGTCGATGTCAGGCTGCAGGGCGCAGGCTTTGACCACCTGGTTGTACCACGTCCTCTCCATTTTTCTCCCAAATACGACATTGTCTTCCACGGAAGCATTTTGTATCCAGGACGTCTGGGGAACGAACGCTGTGGTGCCCTGTGAAAAGAAATGCAGTGAAGCTCACCCAATGGTCACCAGAACCAGAAAGAGGATTTTGGTAAGGAGAGAGAGAGAGAGACAGAAAGAGAGATGGAGGTAAACTTCCATCTGCTGAAGCCAAAGCTTCTCCATTTCCCAAAAAGAGGTCCTACCAAGCCATTCTTGAGTTCCAACAGAGATAACAACTTCTTAAGGCCACCCCCAAAAAAGCCCAGTTTTTTAAAGTGGTGGATCCCCCAATGGAAAGCCCACCACTGAAGTGACTCAAACTACTAAAACCATGACGTGAAACACTAGAACAGCAGTCGGCAACCTGCGGCTCTGGAGCCGCATGTGGCCCTTTCATCCCTCTGCTCTGTCTCCCTGTCCCCGTTTGGCACCACCATTTTGAGAAGAGCTTCCAGTTAGTGCGGGGGGGGGGGAGCACGGCATGCCAGGAGGAGACTCTATGGCAACGGGTGGATTTTCTGGTTGGCTCCACAATTGATAGGGCTTTTGGTCATCCAGGCCCAAAACGGGGGGCCCCCATGTCCTGTTTTGGCCAACAGTGCTGCAGGAGGCGATTCCAGGCCTTGAGCTTTACACCCCTGGTATAGGGGTTGGACTAGAAGACCTCCATGGTCCCTTCCAACTCTGTTATTCTGTTGTTGGTTTTTCCTCAAAAATTACCCTTGTGCTGCAATACTTTGGTTAGGACAGGTAGAGAAAAAAGGATGCTGCACTAGGAGGGGACTCTATGGTGGGGGAACCAGGCTTCTGGTCAGCTCCAGAATTGAATGGGCGGCTTCCAATTAGGACCTTTGTGGCTCTGTGACAGAGTGGGTATTCAGTAGGTTCTGACCAGTTCTGGAGAACCGGAAGCAGACATTTTGAGGAGTTCAGAGAACTGGCCAATCCCACCTCTGACTGGCCCTGCCGACCCCATCGATTCTCTGCCTCCCAAGTCCCAGCTGATTGGCTGGGTCTTCTTTGGTTGCCCTGCACAGGAGAACGGAGCTGGAAAGCAGGTTAGTGGGGTGGGGCAGGGAATGGGGATTTTGCAGTAACCCTCCCCTGCCATGCTCACCAAGCCACACCCACCAAGCCACACCCCCATCTACTCTCCGCCTGCCAAGTCCCAGCTGATTGGCTGGGTCTTCTTTGGTTGCCCTGCACAGGAGAATGGAGCTGGAAAGCAGGTTAGTGGGGTGGCGAGGGAATGGGGATTTTGCAGTAACCCTCCCCTGTCATGCCCACCAAGCTACACCCACCAAGCCACAGCCACCATGCCACGCCCACAGAACCGGTAGTAAAAAAATTTGAATCCCACCACTGCTCTGTGAGTGTTTAAGGTTGCTGACCCCTGCACTAGAATTACAACACACACACACACACACACACACACACACACTCAAATAAACGAAACCCTAAAGCGGATTTCCCCCGTCTGGTTGACTTTCCAAAGTGGTCCACAGTTCCCAGAGTTCCCGAGCCAATGAGTCCATTGCTGAGAATTCTGGGAGTTGAAGTCCACCTATTCAGATAGTGCTTGGGTTGGGGAAGGCTGACCACACCTTGAATAAATTCTGTTTTAAAGTGCTTTTTACCTTTATTACTACAGAGCCTTCAATCCTCTGCAGTTCGCCAAGTAATGCTGAGAGCAGGGAGGATTTCCCAGCCCCCACTTGCCCCACCACGGCACACAGACTGCCCTGAGGTACAGTAAGATTCATCCTATAAAGGTAAAACATGTACATCTTAGTTGTTTTCAAGCCATATTGTGGGTGGAAAGATCCTGTCATGCCCTTGGTAGAATTGGACTCTGAGGGAGAGGAGGAACAGCCGACAGGGAGTGGAGGTGTGGCTTCGGAGGTTGTGGAGGAGGCTGGGGAAGGGCAGGTGCCGGCTGGGCAGTCAGAGGGAGAACCAGGCCCATTCCTTCTGCATCCTGGGACACGCAGGAGAAGGAAACAACTTGGCTTATGAGAGAGGAAGCGGCCATGATCCTCCTCATCGGTTGCAGCTGGGGAGACTAGTATATAAGAGAGTCGATTACAAAACAGCATTGCCAGAAGCAAAGCATGTGTTATTTTGGGCTGAAGTTATCTTGGTTGGCGTCCTTCCAACAGACTATGCCTTGTTATCTCCTTGAAGTTGGTAATTACTTATCCTGGCCCATTATGGAAATTCCTTTATTGTAGTTTGTTTCGGTTTTTTTAATTTCACCTCTATCTGCTCATTAAGTTTGGACTGTATTGCTTTCTTTTGAAGACTATTTTTTGAATAAGTTTTGTCTCCCACTGAGAATTATTGAACAGTGGGGCCAAGTTGGAGGCATTAAAGGACATTTATTTACATTTTGGATTTTGTTACGTTTGTGTTACACTCCGGGTCACCACAGATCCT